GAAGTGCGTTGCAGCAAAAAAAAAAAAAAAAAAATATGTTAGCCAGTGTGCGCCCCGGGCTGCTTACTCTGGGCTACTAGAGACGAGAGGAGGAGAGGCCAGGCCAGCTGTCTTTGTCTTCTGCCGCTGCTGCAGCTCGCAGCTAGCTGTTGTCTTCTAAGATAGAGGAGTTTGTCTTCACACCACAGCCCCGTTGATACCCGCGCAGGCAGCAGCGATGCATGCATGCATGCATGCATGCATGCATGCATGCATGATGCATGCAGATATGCTGTTATACTTGCTTGGTAGTAACATAAGGTTTGGCCCCCATAAACACCCCCACTGGCTCATATATTAAGCTTTAACATATTAAGTTAGTTTTTAACTCCTAAAGAGTTGAGACATACAAGTTTGTGTATACATATTAGATATTTATAGTGTGGCTTAGCATCTCGATATTATATTATATAATAGTATTATATAGATATATATATAATATATATATTTGCATATGTATATAATGATGTTATATACTTGATATATATATATATATATATGGCTTAAAACCTTTTATATAAATGTATATTCTTGGGGTTTAATATATCCTGGTCTGTGTGTCGTCGCTTGCTGGGGGTGAGGCGTAGCCCGTTGCTGGTAGTTTCGCGATACAGCTGATGAAATTCAAGAAAATATATCATTAAAAACCATGAAAAAGGTTTTAATAAACAAAATAAATTAATATAAAAAGAAAAAAGTAGATATTTGTGTAAAAAATACAACTTTGTTTCCTCTCGAGCCAACAAGACCAGGCGCAGTAGTAGTGGTGGGGCTGGCGAGCCGGCGACGCGGTAAGCTGCGGAGAAGTTTTGTATAAAATTTTTGATTTTTTTTTCTAGAAAAAATAATATTTATATTTTTAATATATTTCAATTGTTTTTATTCTTTAGTTAGAGCTTGCACCTATATTAGAGGTGTGTGTGATGTCGGGGGGTGTATTCAATTACTCAACTGATGAAACAAGTGTGTTTCTGTTTTGTTCTTTTGCGTGTTTTCTTTTGTATTTTTTGTGTATAATATATATCTGATGATTATTTTAATTTTATTTTTATGTTTTTTATCATCATGTATATCTCAGAAATGGGGTGAATCGGCTGTATTTGCAGCCGTTTCACACACATCCGCATGTTCAAGTTTCCAGGAAAGCGATAGCTTTCCAATGAGCTGCCTATACACCCGAAACGAGAAATTCAAGTTTCCCGATGACGCCAATTCAACTTCATCAGAAAGCGTTATTTTTTCTCTGAAAAATAAAGTAAATCAACTACAAAAAACTGTTGATCAACTCCGAAAGTATGTATAAATTAAA